TTGTACACACACATGTGTACCTACCACAGCCAAGTGTCCACAGGTGCAAACAAGGGTGACAGCCTGCTTCTCCCAGCCCCAGCCACGGGTTTGGTAGCTGCTTCAGGTGGCGCTGTCCTCACCAAGGATTACCGACATGCACAGCCTATAATGAAGGGCACCATCGCCCCAGCTCATCACACCTTAGCCCCTAGCATGCAAGCTGTCACCTTGATCAGGAGCACCACTGCACTCACGAGTCAGACCCCAAGGCTGCAGACTGCAGACACAGGAGGAAAAGAGAGGAGAGAAAGGAGGAAATTACCCCCTACCGCTGCCCCCTCCCAGCACCCTCCAGAGCCCCACCAGCAGGGAATCTGCAGACACGGCACCCGTCGGGTGATGGGGTGACCATCCAGGGGCCAATATGGCCCAGAGAGCAAGGACACGCACGCCTCCCACTGTTCCTTTGGCTATATGTGTACTTCAGCACTGTAGTGATCAGCCAGACCACGTGACTGGCCGAGGCCTCCAGCAACCAGCGCAGACTCCGGCTTGGGGCAGCCGCACAGGAGCCAGGTGTGTGGGGCAGGGAATGCCCTGTGCAGCAGCCCCAGGGGCGAGCCCATCCTTGTGCAAGGCGGGGGAAGGCAGACTGGCTTCTCCTGGGTCAGCCTACACAGTGGAAAACACCAGTCCCAACTCAATGGCTTCACACATCAAAAATTTATTTCTTGCTCATATTACACATTCAGCATGGCAACGGAGCGCCCCCCGCTCTGCCCATCACAGGCCTTCCATGGTGACAGTGGCCTCGCCCTCACACCAGCTACGATGACAATGGACTTGACGGGAGCAGCAAAACATGGTGAGTACTGGGCAAGGTCCCTGAGCTGCCAGGTAGGGACAGATTTTTTTTTTTAAGATCTACTTATTTTTACTAGAAAGTCAGATACACAGAAAGAAAGAGATAGAAAAAATCCTCCGTCCGATGACTCATTTCCCCAACAGCCAGAGCTGAGCAGATCCAAAGCACTTTCCTTTGACTTTCCTTTGGTCCTTGACTGCTTTCCCAAGCCACAAGCAGGAAGCTGGATGGGAAGCGGGACTGCCAAGACACAAAAGGTACCCATACAGGATCCTGGCACGTGCAAGGCGAGGACTTAAGCCACTAGGCTACTGCACTGGATCTGGAACAGACTTTCAAAGTCACAAACAAAAAGCCTCAGGCACTGAACTAAGGGTTACTGCACTGCTCACAGGGGCTCGAGCACTCGGCACCTCAGCACTGTCCAAAACGGCAGAAAATGAAACCCAAAAAATGAAAAAAAAAGAAAAAGAAAGAAACCCAAGATCTCTGCCCTTAGCACTGTCCTAGCGTGACCTGTGCCCCACCTCCAACTGTTCTGTTGGAGCCCTGAGCTCTAACTCACCCAGAACTGGACTCAGAGACAATGCCCTTAAACAGGTGATTAAAGTAAAACATGGGAATGTGTGTGAGAACAGGGGTGGCTGACACTGTGGCGTAACACAAAAAACTGCAGCTGCAGTGCTGGCATCCCATACGGGCACTGGTTCAAGTCCTGGCTGCTCCACTAGGAAAGCAGATGACCCAAGTGCTTGGACCCCTGCACCCAAGTGGAGACCCAGAAGCAGCTCTGGCCCCTGACCAGCACAGCACCGGTCATTGCAGACATTTGGGGAGTGAAACAGGATACAAGATCTCTCTGTTTCTCATGCGCCTCCCTCTGTAACTCTGCCTTTCAAATAAATCAATCTTTAAAAACAAAACAAAACAACAACAACAAACTAAACTCATCCACAGTTTTCTGCGGAACGTCAAGAGGTTTTCGTTTGGCAAAATCTAATCTACATGCAATACAGGCAGGCTAAGGGAGGCAGGCCCCTGGCAGTTCCCATTACCCATACCAACAGGTTGCCCCCAATAGCTCCTCCTGACCCCCACTGGTGGCTCCGCTTCCAAATTCAAAAATAGAGATTTCCATCAATGCCCAAGTACTTTAAATAGTGTAGCTTCAGGGTCAACACAGTGAGTGTAGAAGGCTAAGCCTCTTCCATGGTGCTGGCATTCCATATGGGTACCAGCTCGAGTCCTGGCTGCTATACTTAAAATCAAGCTTCCTTGTCAATGGGCCTGGGAAAGCAACAGAGGATGACCCAAGTCCTTGGGCCTCTACACCCATGTGAGAGACCCAGAAGCCCCTGGCTCCCACCCCACCAGCTCCAGACCAATCCAGCTCTGGTCAGTGAGGCCAAGGAGAAGCCATCCAGTGGATAAAGACTTCTCTGTCTCTCCTCTCCATAACTATACCTTTCAAATACAAATAATTCCCACAACCAGCCAAAAACTTGCAGCTTCTTAAACTACTCAGTATTGCACAGGAATTATGCTGAGGACATCCTGTTTTAGAATTTGCTTTGGAGACAACTGACAAGTCATCTCCCAGCACGAACCACATTCTATCTTTAGGAAATAAAATCTCCAACTATTTTTTTTTGAAGATTTATTTTTATTGCAAAATCAGATATACAAAGGAGAGATAGAAAGATCTTTCATCTGATGATTCACTCCACAAATGTCTCCAATGGCCGGAGCTGAGCCAGGAGCCAGGAGCCTCCTACAGGTCTCCCATACAGGTGCAGAATCCCAAGGCTCTGGGCTGTCCTTGATTGCTTTCCCAGGCCACAAGCAGAGAGCCAGATGGGAAGCGAGGCTGTTGGGATTAGAACCGGCACCCACATGGGATCCTGGCGCATTCAAGGCGAGGACTTTAGCCACTAGGCTATCATATCAGGCTCAAGATTTTTTTTTTTCTTATTGGAAAGTCAGATTTATAGAAGAGAGAAAGATCTCCTGTTCGCTGCTTCACTCCCCAAGTGGCTCCAATGGCTGGAGCTGAGCCGATATGGAGCCAGGAGCTTCTTCTGAGTATCCCACACATGCTCAGGGTCCCAAAGCTTTGGGCGTTCTCTGTTGCATTCCCAAGCCACGAGCAGGGAGCTGGAAGGGAATGGAGTAGCCGGGATACAAACAGACACCCAAATGGGATTCAGGAGCATGAAAGGCGAGGATTTTAGCCACTAGGCACACCAGGCCCATCTCCAGCTATTTAGAAAGAAATGAGGGACAGACACTAGGAGGCATGCCTGGCCATTCAGCCAAGCTGGAGCTGGTCACTGCCGAATACTGCTCTCGGTGGTCCCTTCTTAGGCTGTCAGCCCACGTGCCAGTGCTAGGGGTGGGGAACAACTAAGGGTCTGATCAAGGCCTCTTCCCCGACTAGGAACAGAGGTCCCGCTCAGTGCTGACAGGACATGCCCTGTCTGGAAGGCCAGCAACAGCCCCTCTACCCAACTTGTGCTGGCCTCCGGGAGGGAGTCAGGCCAGCCCTTCTCTCCCGAGGGGTTAAGGCCCAACGGCCACAGACAGGGTCTATTTTCCAAATTAAAAGCAGGTCAGGGACACAGTAGCCTAGTGGCTGAAGTCCTTGCCTTGCACACACCAAGATCCCATATGGGTGCTGGTCTGTAACCCAGTCGCTCCACTTCTCTTCCAGCTCCGCTTGTGGCCTGGGAAGAAACAGAGGATGGTCCAAGCCCTTGGTATCCTGCATCCACATAGGAGACCCGGAAGAAGTTCCTGGCTTCGGACTGGCTCAGCTCCAGCTGTTGCAGCCACTTAGGCAGCGAACCAGTAGACAGATATGTCTCTCCTCTAAATCTGACTTGCCAATAAAAATAAAATCTTTGGAAAAAAAAAAAAGGTCCCCTGCAGTGCTGTCAGGTCTAGCAGGTTGCCACTGACAGCACTCAGGGGTGTGGCATCCCAGAATCCAAGCCCCTCTGAGAGCTGCCCAGTAGGACAGGGTGAGCAGAGTCACTTCAGGTCCACCAGATGCAAACAGCACAGGCTGCGCGGAGGTCGGCAATGTGGAGGGGGCAGGGAATCACAGGCAGCTCAGGCCGTCAGTTTGCCCCAGCTGTGACCCGGCAAGAGCACCCTAAATTTCTACATCTGATCCGAATCCAGTTTGTACCCTGGCTTCCTTCTATCCTCCTGCTGGCTCACAGCTTCCACCAGGTCCTAGAGTGCCAAGCTCCAGGGCAACCTGAAGGAACTCACACATAAAACTAGAGGGACCCAGAGCCATTTTAAAGGGACAGTCACTAAATAAAGTAACTGTACCTCCAACCCAGGCCTGTCCCTTCTTAAGTCTCCAGGAGAATGACTTCTGTTGTTTCCAAAGCTGTCAAGCCTGAGAGGGCTTCTTGCCCGAGCCGCTCTGGACAGGCAAGATCCACCCCCTCTTTACGCAACTTTGCTGGTATCACAAAGTAAGCCTTCATTCAAATCCCATCTGGGGCCTACAAGCTGGAGGCGGGTGGAATCTGCTTCCTCTAACTGCAGGGTTCCCAAGCCACCAAGTACACAATAAGACCCCAATACCAACCTGAGATGCTAGGACAACAGCTCAGCCCACGCTCAGCCATGGATCAGCACCGACATAGAGCTTAGACAGAGCTGCGCATGGCTCAGGCCTCCTCGCAGTCACACATCACTCACATCACTGGGGTATCAAGAGTTCTATTGCTGATGTGCAGGGAGCCCACGGGAGCAGAGGGGAAGGGCAGTGCCATGGAGGCAGAGAATCCCACGTCAGGGGCGATCAGCCTTGTCATGCATTACACAGAACAGGTCCTCCCTCTGAGCAGGTGAGCTAGCAAGGGGCTTACAACCCTCTTGCCTGCATCCTAACCTCCCAGCAGGCCAAGCCAACTGGTAAACCCTCAGGGACATCCAGGCCAAACACCATCCCAGCTGGATGCTGCATTCACAATGGTCAAGACATGACATCAACCCAGATGCACATACAATGTGGCACAGGTATGTGATGGGCATTTCAAACCAGACCCTGCTGCCTCAGGCACTAGGCAAGAGCCTAGAGGTCAGTACATGAAACACACCAGACACAGAGAAACCATGTGACTTCACTCATGTGTAGAAACTGAACAGGCTACTTTAATGGAAGGGGAGGGGAGACTAACAGGTCACTAGGGTAAGGGGATAAGGATGAAGGCTGGACATCAGGGACTGGAAATACATCAGACAAGGGGAACAGTCTAGTGTTTACAGCATACAAAAAGGCATTATGTTATACAAAAAAGTCAGGAATTTGAAACTTTCCAACACAGAGACAACTGATGTTTAAGGAGTCTGTTAGGCACCCTGGCCTGTGTGCACGCAGTGGGACACAACACTGCCCCTACATTGATACAAACATGGGGGACCAGGGTTGGAAGAACCCAGTCAGCCCCTCCCACCCTAGCAGGTGCTGGGGGTGACAGTGAAGCTAGGAGAGAACCTCAGGGTGGGAAGAGGCCTAGGCACAGGAGCACCCAGGGTAGGGGGTGGGGGGGGCAGAAGGCAGGTAAGAGGTAGCCCCCAAGGCAGGGAAAATTGCCTGTGCTCAGGCAGGGAAGGGTCCTGAATAAGTGCATACCCTCACCCCTCTTTGAGGTCACGTGGCCCAGTGGGCAGGTCACTGTGCCCCAAATGGGGGTCATGGGGCTCTCTGGATGCACAGGCCGCTTCATCACAACTGTCTGGGTCAGGTTGAGAACCCAGGGATGTAGAGCATGGGACAGGCTCTCCTGGGGTCTCCAGCACTCCCTGGGGGGCATCTGAGGACACCTCCTGGCATCCCTGGGTCTCAGTTACCCCTTCCTCTGTTTTCTGGGGCTCTGGAGCCCCTGCACATGCTAGGTCCTCCTTCTGGGCAAGGGGCTTCACAGATTCTGACAGTATAGGGCAAGCAGCTTCGAGGGCTACCCCCTCAGGCTGGGGAGCAGCTGCCCCCACAGGACCAGGGCTACCCGCAGAACTCGCGGGTGCAGGGGTCTCTGTGGGCCCAGGGATGTTCTGCTTGGCATTTCTGGGTGTGGATTCAGGTCTTGGTCCTGCAGGGGTGGCCGGTGCTGCTGGGACAGGCCTCGGGGGAGTGCCCATGTTGAGAGCCAGGGCCTCCGCGAACCTGGCTAAGTACTGCCTCACCACAGGCAGCTGGGGGGCCACTGGCGGCTGGCTCGAGGCCGGGGGCAGGGAGCAGGGCATGGCGGCACGGAACGCTGCAATATTTTCAGGGTCATGAACTATTCCCTCGAGCTCCTGGCAGAAGAGCTCATAGTCGTTAGGCAGGGGCAGCTGCCCGTCCAGGTAGGGGGCTGCCCACGCCCGGGCACGGCCAGTCAGGCGGCCGAGGATCTCACAGACACGGCTGAGCTGGTCTTGGTAGTGATCGAAGCGGAAAGACATGTAATCACCCAGCTGGGCCAAAAAGCGGTCCAGCAGCCACGGGGAGCCATCGAAGGTGCCTGGATCTGAGCCAGGCACCCAGTGGAAGTCCACCCGCAGGGGCCGGGGTACACGCACGGCAAGGGGCACCCTCTCTGGGGGCTTCTGGTCAGGGGCGCTGCTGTCGGGGCTCTTCTGCTCCATGGTGGTGCGCACGCAAACCGGGTCCCCACAGCAGGGCCTCTCGATCCAGGGATCCACCATGGGGGCATACGCCACCGCACCAGAGGCTGGGTCCATCTGCTCCCAAGGGTGTGCGTTGGCGTAATTGGCTGCTGCCTGGATGGGAATAGGAGGGCCTTGCCGCTGGGGCTGGCCGTGAGACATGCTGGGAGCACAAGGGAGCAGGGAGCTGGCACAGGAGGGCAGATGCAGACAGAAGAGGCTGGCACGGCACAATGGGCTTGTCAGGGATCTGCTGGTGGGATGTGGCTGACCCGAACCAGGTGCAGAGGAGCAGGGAGAGCTGACAGCTGAGCCGAGAGGACTGTCAGACGCAGACCATCGTCCGAGGCAATCTGTCCAAAGACAAGCGGGAAAGCAGGAACTAGGCTCCCCTGATGGTCATGGTGCCAGCAGCAGAGAACCAGCAGGCAAACCCCTGGTACCCAGCTAGGAGCTCTAAGTGCAGGTGGGTAACCCTGGTACCCAACTAGGAGCTCTGAGTGCAGGGGACGGCCTGGGCAAGTCCAACACCACAGACAGATGCCACCTGTGATGCTGAAGGGGCAGGGCCCGGTGCCAGATGCTGTCACCCCCAGGAGAACATGGGGGTCAGGCAGGAACTGTCGTGGAGTCTCGGCACAACAGCAGTTGCAATTCCTCACTGAGCACTCCAGCGGTGCCAGCTAACGGCCCATCCCACCTTGACTTGGGGTTGGTACCATCATCACCCTGGCACTGCCATGAAGTGACACCCCACCCAGCAGCAAGTGGCTGAGCAACTGCCACCCATGCCATACTTCAAGGTCTCAACCCTTTTAGCCCTTGAGTACACACACAGCCCATCCTAAGGTTCCTCCCCACAATGGCCCCAGGGCACTGGGCTACTACAAGATCCAGGCATGCCCAACCCCTCATACTTTTCCAAACTCTCTGAGTGCAGGCACTGCCATCCCCACCCCAACACAACCTCCCTGGATTCCCCATGTCTGTCAACACTCCTGCAATGTGAAATCCTAGCTTCTAGGGCCAGTGCTTAACGCCAACATCCCATAAGGGTGCCAGTTCCAATCTCAGCTGCTCCACTTCCAGTTCAGCTCCCTGCTAATGTGCCTGGGAAAGCAGCAGAGGATGGCCCAAGTACTTGGGCTCCTGCATCCACAGGGAGACCTAGAAGCTCCTGGCTTCTGGTTTTGGCCATTGGAAGTAAGCCAGTGAATGGAAGATCTCCAATTCTGCTCTTCAAATAAATTAATAATAACTTAAAACAAAACCCTAGAATAACGGGCCTGGCGGCGTGGCCTAGTGGCTAAAGTCCTCGCCTTGAACGCACTGGGATCCCATATGAGCACCAGTTCTAATCCTGGCAGCTCCACTTCCCATCCAGCTCCCTGTTGTGGCCTGGGAAAGCAGTCGAGGACGGCCCAAGGCCTTGGGACCCTGCACCCGTGTGGGAAACGAGGAAAAAGTTCCTGGCTCCTGGCTTCAGATCGGCATAGCACCAGCTAGTGCGGTCACTTGGGGAGTGAATCATCGGACAGAAGATCTTTTTCTCTGTCTCTCCTCCTCTCTGTATATCTGACTTTCCAACAAAAATAAAATAAATCTTAAAAAAAAAAAAATCCTAGAATCCCATTTGCTGTACCTACCCCCCCTCTTTGTGTTGCTAAGGGCCTGGAGACCCCAGTCGCTGGATCTGCCCCTCCTCCACACAGTGGTCACTAAAGGTCCCACACATCAGTGGCAACACTTTTGGTGTAAGGAGCCCTGCTCTGGGACTATGTATCTGTCCAGATCAAGTACAGCCCAGTCTGCCCACTCAGGACCCCCATAAGGCCCTCTCTGTCCCACCCACTCAGCTAATATCCAGGGATACAAGGCCTACAGGAACCACAGAGGGTCTTCCCACTGGGAACCCAGCCCCTCCCCCCAGTTCCCTGGAACCCTTCAGACCCAACCACTCCCCTTCTGAAAGCCCAGCCTCCCCTTCCCCCACATATACCAGGCCTACCTACCCCACAGGCCCGCACACGGGTGTTGAGTCCAGTCCTGCCCTTCATCTGGTTCTAACCAGCACCCCCCACAGCTGCCCGGGAGCCACTAAGCCACATCTCTGCCGTCCCTTCTTCCTAAGCTGTACTTGGAAACAAACCATCGCCCTGCCCACCTGCCCACCGTCCTCACATCTGACAACCTCCCGCCAACGCTCCCCTCGCCTCTGCCCACCATTCCCGTCTCTTGCTTCTGTCCCCCACCTCTGCCTGACCCTGGGGGCACCTGGGGCCTTTTCCTGGACTGGACAGCGCTCTAGGGGCAGAAGCATGGAACTGCGGCGCATGTGCACTAGGGCAGTGCCTGGGACCCCTCCCCCCCAGAGTAGATCGTGCACCAAAAGCCTCAGTTGACTGTCCGGCCCTCCCCGCCCTGCCGCCGCCATGCAGGCAAGATGAGCATACAAGCCCCCCAGGCCAGTAACAAACTCACCTACCTACAAACACGCGAGGCGCCGGCCGAGAAGGTCCCAGGGGTCGGCAGCGGCCAGAGACGGGCCTTCCTCCGAGGGCCAGGACAGAGCGCGACCTACAGTACGAAGAATGGAATTGGGCACCGTGAGAGTAGGCCCGGAGGACGCCGCGCTGCCTCCACGGCCTGCACTGCAGAACCGACAGAAGGGCCCTCGGCCCGGCACCCCAACCACCCCAAACCCTGCCAGCGCAGACCCCGGAACTGCGGCGCGCCAGCCGGGAGTCGGGAAAGGAACGCAAAGGCGCAGCCGACACGTGGCTACCTCGCCGGCCTCCCGAGCGCTCGCCGCCACACCGCCCTGCCAGCCCGAGCCGACGACGCCCGAGCCCCGGAGAAGCGCGGATCGCAGGCCACGCCCCCAGCGCGCGCGCGCGCCCGCCACGTGCGTCCCCGTGCCCGCGCCCGCCACGCCCCCTCGTCAGCCTCCCGGGCGGGCCGCGGCCGCGCGCTCCGCCCCCCGCGCCTGCGCCGTGCTCCGCGGGGCTGTGGCCGCGCAGGCGCTCGGGGACTCTGCCAGCGCGGCAGCGCGGCAGCGCAGCGCGGGGGGTGATGGGAGCGCGCCCAGTGCCACGAGAGCAGGCGGGACCGTGTGCGCAGGCGCGGGGCGCGGGGCGCGGGGCGCGGGGAGGGTCGCTGCTTTGCTCTGAGCGCGGGCTTGTCCGTCTTCCCGCCTTACTCCGCCATTGCTCTCTTGCAGTCAGCTGAGGAGGGCTTGGGGTCCACCAAGAGGCCTCCGGGCCTCGTGTGCGCTTCCCTGGGAATGTGCGGTTGTTCTGTCATCTTCCAAACCGGTGCTGGATAACCCAGCGTCCAGCTCTCCACACTCTTCTTCCCCCAGCCCTGGCGCCAGCGGCCGGCGTGCCAGGAGACTGCAGGCAGAGCTTGTGGGTCTCCAGGGCGGTATGAGTGTGCAGGCCCCTCCCGAGATGCAGTCGGACCCATAGAGAACTGGCAGGACCACTGTCCTCCGCAGTGTCTGCGCGGATGGACGTGCCCAAGTCCCCAGACCCTTGGGTCAAGGACCTGGATGTCCGCCACACGCAACCCGGACGCCCTGGAAAATGAGGCTGGTCAAGGTAGACACACCAGCTCTCTCTTCGTCCTGGGCAGTTGATTCCCTTCAGGAAAGGGCTCTGAAATGTTATCTGCGTTGACACCGAGCCTTACTTTCTTTGATCTTTGAAACGAGAATCAAAGATCGTATTGTACCTTCCTTACTCCTGGCCCGCGCCGCCTCCCCTCCCCGGGGGCGATTATGGAGAGGGTGTCTGCAGGACTTCAAATTCCCCGGGCCAAAAATAATAAAAGTGGCACCCAGCCAGGAAACGCTGCCCCCTCCTCCTCCTCGGAGTGTGAATGAAACTTGGATGTTTCGGTTGTGTCTTTCCTAATTGAACCGATCATTTAAACTTCCTCCCTCAGGGCAGAGGGGGGAGTTCCAGTACATTTTCAGCTGAGCCTAGTCATCCATTCTGGCCAATCGCATCTGCTCAGCCAGCTGCCAGCCAGGCCTGTGCAAAAGGCCCAACAGCCTGCTACCCCGCCCCAAATCCAAATTGCGTTCTCTCTGACCATGTTCTGTGCGGATGAAATGTCACAAAATCTGAGCCACTCTGAGGTGGTACACCATTATGGCTCAAGCCTTCTAGCCAGAAAGGGGGAAAAAAAAAAGAGAGAGAGAGACTGAGAAGTGACACTTAGCATGCTAGCCCAGTTTCACAAGATTATACATGACAACCCAGGTGGGCCTCTCAGACAAGGCCCCAGAGCCCTAGGGTCTTAATTCCCTTTTCTTAAGCACTTCCCGCACATATAAGCTAACATCTGCCTGGCTACCAGAACATCTTTAAAAAAAAAAAAAAGAAAACAAAAACAAACTGTGTGGACACAGCATGGTAGTCTAGTGGTTAAAGCCAATGCCTTCCATGTGTCAGGATCCCATTCCGACGCCAGGTAGTATTCCTGGTGCTCCACTTCCCATCCAGCTCCCTGCCTGTGTCCTGGGAGAGCAGTCAAGGATGGCTCAGTGCCTTGGGACCCTGCATCTGCATGGGAGACCCAGTTCCTGCTGTGGCAACCACTTGGGGAGTGAACCAGTAGATGGAAGATCTTTCTGTCTATGTCTCCTTCTCTCTGTAAACCTGACTTTCCAATTTTAAAAAATCTTAAAAAAAAGAATAAATTACGCAGCCTCTTCAACATTTTTTGCACCAAAATCAGCTCACTTAACCTCTATTTTCCCACAAACTGTTTGAAGTGCCCTTCTACAATCCAAAACAAAATCATTGGCAAGCTCACGTGGCTGTATCAATATCAGCTGCTGCTGACGTCAAGGGAAGGAATGCACAGTTCATCTTGATAAAAGACTTAGTTCATCAAGAAAGCACAACCGCAACTGGGCATGCACCTAACCGCAGGATTCCAAAGTTAGGTTGTAGCACAAACTCAGCTGCAGGCCCAGAGGCCTGATACTTCTTCTCAGCAAAGACTCATAAATGCACTCAAACCCAGTAACAGCAAAACCCGTTAGGGACAGGTGTTTGGTGCTAAGCAGTTAGGATACTGCTTGGCGCATCTGCAACCCCCATGTGGGTGCCCGACTGTAACTCCTGGTTCCACTCCCTGTGGCATCTTCTGGCGTAAGTACTCCTGGGAGGCAGGAGGTGACTGCTTCCAATAGTTGAATTCAAGCCATCCATGTTGGAAACTTGGACTGAGCTCCTGACTCCTGGCATTGACCTGATGCAGTCCTGGATGTTCCTGGCATTTGAGGGACTGCTTCCTGCATCAGGTCCTTTGAATTTCATGGTCATGCCTCACTTGGCCCATCACCACCTCCAGGTCTGCCCTCGGACCTGGTTCTCTCGCGTGCTGGTGTCATGGCCCAGCCTGATGTGGTCCACCCCCTGCCCTGACATTCACCAGTAGGCACTGTGATCCAGCCCTGCCAGGCAGGCTCCTCAGCCCTAGCTTTCATGTGCACTGGTGGGCAGTGGCCATGCCAACTAGCCCAGCCCAGGTCTCCCATATATTTGGATGCCTTAGTCTCCCATATACGTGGATGTCCTCTGGTTTCCTTACTCTAAACCACTGCGTCTCAGCCCCCTCATATACCTACGAGTGCAGTGGCCTGGTTCATGGAAGTCCCCCAGAAGTTATTCCTCACTTACAAAACAGTCTCTAGAGCAGTCTCTTCTCCCACACATCCCAACTCTGGGCAATCCACAGTTCCCATGCCTATGAACACACACAGGCCCCCAGGCTTGGTCTACTGGTGGGGCAACATACCAGCCTGGAGCCCTGCAACAAGCATCTTTTAGAAGATGCTTTCTTTTTCTCTCTCTATGAAGAATCTGGCTGCACGTGCCTATTGGTTCACCTAAGTCCTCACATTGGGGCAGGTTCCAATATTGGCTGGTAAACTTCTGATCCAGCTCACTGCTGATGTGCCTGGGAAAGCAGTGTAAGATGGCCCAAGAGCTTGGACCCCTGCAGCCACATAGGAGACCTGGAAGAAGCACTTGGACTCCAGCTTTGCCCTAGCCCAATTCCAGCCATTGTAGCCATTTAGAGAGTGAACCAGTGGATAGAAGATATCTGTTTCTACACTATATCTTAGCCAAAAGGTCGAGAAGCAATGAAGATATCTTTTTTATAATTCTGCCTTTCTTTTTCTTTCTTTCTCTTTTTTATATCATAAAACAATATAAACTTAAAAATATATTTATTTTCGGGCCAGGCACAATGACTCAGTGACTAAACACTTGCCTTGCACATGTTGGGGTACAACATGGGCCACCGATTAGTGTGCCGGCTTCTCCACTTCCCATCCAGCTCCCTGCTTGTGGCCTGGGAAAGCAGTCAAGGATGGCCCAAAGCCTTGGGACCCTGCACCCACGTGGGAGACCTGGAAGAAGTTCCCAGCTCCTGGCTTCGGATCAGCACAGCTCCGGCCACTGTGGATGCTTGGGGAGTGAATCATCATCATCTTCTCTGTACATCTGATTTTGCAATAACAATAAATAAATATTTTTTGAAAAACATATATATTTATATTTATATAATTTGAAATGCAGAATTACAAAGAGGAGAGACAGAGAGAAAGATTTTCATCATTGGTTCATTCATTCCCCAAGTGGCTGCAATGCCTAGAGCTGAGCCGATCTGAAGCCAGGAGTTTCTTCCTGGTCTCCCACGCTGGCGCAGGGTCCCAAGGCTTTGGGTCATCCTCCACAGCCTAGTCTGTGGAGTTGGATTGCAAGTAAAGCAGCTGGGATACAAAGTGGCTCCTATACAGGGAGGAAAGCACTGCTGGGAGGCCTGAGCAGGGGCCCCACCTGGTCAGGCTTCAGAGAGGGCTTCCTGGGAGTAATGGTGAGATCCTGCACTGAGTCTAATATTCCCCCCACCTCCACCCTCCAGCAGTGGGAATTGGCTGGGTGGAAAAGTGGAGGCATGGCTCTGGCCAGGGGTCGGCACGGGCAAAGGCTGAAGACCAGCAAGCAAGGTGTGTACAGGACTAAGTTCAGAGTAGGCCAATGAGGGACCCCTTCCCTGAGAGCCTTCATGGTGGCAGGCTCAGCTAATGGAGTCAGCTCAAAGCTACTCAGAGCCTGTGTAGACCAGACTCACCCCAACCACCCAGTCTAGGCCTCCCATTAGGGCAGGTCTGGGTCTTTCTCTAATTTTTTTTTTAAATATTTATTTACTTTTATTGCAATGTCAGATACACAGCAGGGAGATGGATGGAAAGCAGGCTGCTGAGATTAGAACCGGCACCCATATGGGATTCTGGTGCATTCAAGGCAAGGGCTTTAGCCACTAGGCCATCATGCCAGGTCCATTTATTTGCAAGGCAGAGTTACTGAAAGAGCCAGAGAGAGAGAGATCTTCCATCTACTGATTCACTCCCTAAATTTCTTCTGGGTTTCCCAGAGGCTCAAGCACTTGGGTCATCCTCTGCTGCAATCCCAGGCATAAGCAGGGAGCTGGATCAAGAAGAGCAGAAGTCAGAAATCCAACCGGGAATCAGAAACTGGTACTGCATGCAGTTGCTTAGCCCACCGCATGGCAATGTCAGCTCCAAGGGCATGAGGCCTTTAGAGAAAGTGAAAGTGTGGGAAGGGATGGGGGTGGGAGTGGTAGCTGGGGGATGAGGTGGGGGGTTGTGCCTCTAACTTGGCAGGAGTGGGGCTGTTGTGAACACGGAGCACGTGGCCTTCTCCAAGAACTTTGAAAATCAAATACTCCCCAAGCTAAGGAAACCCAAGCATGGGCTGCCGGTTAGGGCTTTATTATTACAATCACTGGACCCAGTGCCAACCACCAGGGGCAGAACAATGAGCCATTGAAGGCTGGTGCAGGGCTGGTCTCCCACCCAGACAGGGGGGCCTGGCGCTATGGACACAGAGGTGGTGGTCGTCTGCCTGCACCCGGGCTGCTCCACTGCACCCATGGGCATCGGTCTTGTCAATCATCAAATGGGCAGAGCTCAAGAAAATACATCCTAATACAGAGGACCGGGTTGGGCAGGGGGTTGAAATCCACAGGATGGCTGCTCTTGAACAAGGCTGAAGACACTGCCAAGTGAGATGGCTGCCCCGGTGGCCTGTGGACTGGGGTGCTCAAGGGGCCCAGGAGCCGGGCCCAACTGGGTCCTTCCCTCCCTTCCTGCCCCCCCCACCCCCAACTCCCGCAGGACTTCACACTGCCTCTTGGTTAGAGCCCCACTCAGTTCCCAGACACTTGGTGTTATTCAAGCATCAATGATAAGCCAAGAAGATCCAATTTTATTAGGGGGAGAAGTCACTGTCGCACAAAACCCTAGAGGCCAGGTGGGCCCCACCTTGTCATCTCTGATGTCAATCCACCCCTCCCCCAAACCCCAAGCCAGGCAGCACAGGGGCGGGGTAGGATTACCACCCCTGTGGTCACTGGGCTCCCTGGGCTTAGTCACAGATACAGAAGGTCCCCACGAGGGAGACCTCTTGCTGCTCATGTGCACCTCAGATGGTGCTGGGAAGGCAGCGGTGACTGCTGCTGCTGCTGTTGCTGGGGCCCCAGCTTGGGTTTCTGGGATTAGGGTAACCTGAGCACCCATAAACTGCACCAGGGCAGGGATTAGGCAGGCAAGGGACTGGCATGCTTGGCCGGGTCCCTGTGGGTCGCTGCAGCCGGCCTCCTCCTTCAGGGCCCTCAGGCACAGGTGCTTGCCAAGAAGAGGAGGGGGGGTGTCAGGGAGCCCCAGGGCAAGCTCCAGACACCTGAGCCATCTCAAGGAGCCAGGCTGTGCTGGAGCGGGACAGAGAGGGACAAAGGGGTCCTCCAGTGCAGGACCCAGATGGGAAGGCAGCAGGCATGGCTGCTCCCATGACCAAGTACTCTGGGCTGATCTGTACAACGCGCCTGCTAGGGCCTGGTACAATGGTTCAACTGGTTAATCCTCCCCGTGCAAATGCCAGGATCCCACATGGGCACTGTTCATGTCCAGTTCCCATCTTGTTCCTTGCCTGTGGGCTAGGAAAGCAGTAGAGGATGGCCCAAAGCCTCGGGACCCTGCACCCACGCAGCAGAAGAGGCTCCTGGATCCTGGCTTCTGATAGGTGCACTTCCGGCTAACGCAGCTGCTTGGAGAGTGAATCAATGGATGGAAGATCTTCCTTTATGTCTCTCCTTCTCTCTGTATAACTGACTTCCTAATAAAAATAAAACAATTTTTTAAAAAAAGCAATGAACCTATTAGGTTAGCCTGGGCAACCACAGCAGCCATCTCTCATCCGAGGTCAGTGAACCCCTTTTGGGAGAGGAAAGAGCTGGACCAGATGAGGACAGCACCCTTTTACCCAAGGCCTTCAGTGGTTCCCCTTCCCCAAGGGTCAACCTCTTGGAGCATCCTTGCCTGTCGAAGAACCATCTAGAACCATCTAGGCAGTTCCTTCCCAAAGTGGAATATCCCATTTTGTTGTTGCTGCTGCTGCCAGTTCCCCACAGTGGGTAGCTCCTTTGCTCACCAGCCCATTGAAGATATCAGGCTGGGCCAAGGGCAGGGCAGAGCATTGGCAGGCCTGGTTGCATACAGATACCTGGCAGGGCAGGGGGGGAGCAGGGAGCAGGCCTGGCACAGGAGACACCCAGGGCAGCATCCAGCCAGACTGCCCAGCTCTTAAGTGGCGGTGGAGAAAGGAAGGAATGGGTACAGTTGGCAAATGCGGTGGGAAAGGGGGAGGTGGAGGTAGGCCAAAGGCAGAAGGGCCTCTTTCCCAGCCTGGGGTCCCCATGACAGATTTAGGGCTGCTGCCTGGAACTCTGTGGATGCCTAGGAATGGGACGCCAGCAGACAGTCAGTCAGTCAGTGGTGGCAGCCCAAGCCAGCGGGAGGCAATGAGAGCAAAACTTAGGACTCAAATGGAGCAACCCCAGCTACTGGGTCATCTCCCCATACTCCCAGGGCTGGGCACCAGTGAACAGCTGCAGCCCAGGAGCAGGGTGGTCCCTTAGAGCTTGAGTTCCATTTGGAAGCCGAATTCACTCAGTCACTTCCTTCCCAGGGCTGGCCTGTGTCTGGCAGTGGTCAGCCGCTGTGGTCCGCCACACATACACATACGCTCTCCTACCCCAGGACTGGAAGTGGGATGACAGGGCAGGGGAGGGAAAAAGGAATTGAACCCTAGGCCGCCGGCAGGGGCGCTGTGGGTTCGGGTGTCTCTCGGAGTGGCCCTGGTGCAGGTTTTGGCTTACCTGTGGCCCTAGTGGGTGAGAGCCCACCTATAGTGGGCTGTAGTGGCATGCTGCATGGGCATGGGGGCTGCAGCGGCCACAGGCCAGGGGAGCATGTGTGCCAAGACACCATGGGGCAAGCCCATACCTGAGGCTACAGAGGGAGGGGTAATTCCAGTGAGCTGGCTGCCCAAGACTCCTGGGGGCCCAGCCCTCCCCTCTTGCACCCCTGAGTCCTATGTTCAGCCGTCTGTCACCCCAAGGCATGCCTGTCACCTGCAGATGAGAGTGAAGGGTATTGTGGGGGAGGGGAGATGCACTCAGGACCTGCCAGCCAGCAGTGGAGGGGGGCGATGCTCAGGGAGGTATGAGAGAGAACCCTCCCCACTTCCCAGGGGAGACTCATATGGAGGGGGCCCCAGTGAAGTGCCCTCTGCCCACACCTCCACCTGCCCGTGCCCTTGCACAATCCCAAGCAGAAGCAGAAGCGTGCTGGGGGTAATTGCAGGTTACACGGAACAATCTGAGGAATTAAAATCATATTTTCATTGCACCATAAAAACATGCAAAGGCGGCGGGGAGGCGGCTCCCCTGGGGGACCAGGCAGAGAGCACCTGGTGGGGAGGGGCCAGCACAGGGGCAGGCCTGGGTGTGTGTGTGTGTGCAGTGAGCCTGGACTCGGGCTGGTCCAAAGGACAATCAGGACAGATGGCGCTGTCTCAGTGCACAGGTCCTGCTCCCCCCACTCCCAAAGAGAAGGTAGCATTTCTTCTTCTTTTTTTAATTTTATTTTTATTGCAAAGCCAGATAGACAGAGAGGAGGAGAGACAGGAAGATCTTCCCTCCAATGATTCACTCCTCAAGCGGCTGCAATTGTTGGAGCTGTGCCAATTCAAAGCCAGGAGTCAGGAGCCTCGTCCAGGTCTCCCATGCGAGTGCAGGGTCCCAAGGCTTTGGATCATCCTCGACTGCTTTCCCAGGCCACAAGCAGGGAGCTGGGTGGGAAGTGGGGCTGCTTGAATTAGAACCAGTGCCCATATGGGATCCTGGTACATGCAAGGTGAGGGTTTTAGCCATTAGGCCACTGCACCAGGCCCTATAGCATTTCTTCTTAAAATATTCATTTGTTTAGAAGAGTTACAGAGAGAGACAAAGAGATATGTTTTATCCACTGGTTCATTCCCCAAATGGGTGAGGGGATTCCAGTAGCCAGCGTTATGGCACAGCAGGTAAAACTGCCGCCTGTGATGCTGCCATCCTAGATGAGTCCTAGTGGCTTCACTTCCCATCCAGCACCCCATTTGTGGTTTGGGAAAGCAGCGAAGGATGGCCCAAAGCTTTGGGACTCTGCACCTGCATGGGAGACCAGGAAGAAGCTCCTGGCTTCTGGCTTCAGATCAGCTCAGTTCTGGCCATGGAGACCATTTGGGGAGTGAACCAGCAGATGGAAGATCTCCCTCTGTTTCTAAGTCTGCCTTTCAAAAAATCTTTAAAAAAGAAAAGAAGTGACTCAAGCACTTGAGCCATCCTCCACTGCTTTCCCAGGCACACTACAAGGAGCTGGATTTGAGTGGTGCGGCCAGGATTTGAACATGTGCCATGTGGGATAGTGACACATTGCGGCAGCATCCACGCTTAACACATAGCCACAGGGAACGTTCAAGTTCCTTGCCTGCCCACACAGCAGAGGTCGCCACCTGGGCCAAGTATCCAGAGATTCCCAACTGCCTGGCCACTACCCAGAGGGAGGCCAGGGAGGAGGGAAGACAAAAAGCTCAGCCATCCCCAGGGGTGGGCAGCCAGGGCGTGCCACCAGCCGTGCGTTAAATGGGACACGGCTGATCTGGCCCTGCACTTGGCATCTTAATTGGGCGGCTGAGGTCTGTCTCAGTGCACACGCGCGCGCCCTGTTCTGCAACAGAAACATTCCTTTGTGGCCTGACAAGCAGGGTCCCATCCAGGGCTCCCGCAGACTCTAAGCAATGTTTTCTTAAGGAAGACACGAGTGAATTAGCAGCCACACTAAAGCCCCAGCACAAAGCCCCAGCCGGGCCTGCCACTGTCAGTGCTGTCTGACTGGCAGGTAAGGCGCGCCCTCCGTGGCCCATCAAGCCCCAATGGGCTGGATTAGCCTGAGCTCGGGCGGGGTGAAGGTAGGGGCAGTCAGCTCCTGTCCTTGGAAGCCTGGGAGTGACCTGGGCAGGGGGAGGGAGGTTTTTGTTGCTACTGTAGAGGCTCACTGCTGCCTGTGGGGTTAATGCTAGGGGGTCGTGCTGGTGGGCGTGAAGACACCACGGCAGAACACGCTAGGGAATAAATCTTTATTTATATTCCAGAGACGCCAGGGAGTTCGGACCTGGGCGGCCCACAGGGGTGGGTTTCTGCTCAGGGCGTCATCAGCCGGCGGCGAGGGGGTGGCAGGGTGCAGGAGAAGGGGCTGCAGATCCCCTGAAGCCATCCCTGCAGGGCATATGGGCATCTGGGCTGGTCCATGCTCTTTGGAGGAGGGGCAAGGTGGGCCCGGCTTGCACTCCCCCAACCAAGTCCTGCATTGGCTGTGCTGGTGTTGGTGGGAGAGTGAGAGGGTTGGTTAGGCATAAGAAGCCAGGGTGTGTGGGAGAGGGGCATGTGAGGCGGGAGGGAGTCCCCATGCTGAGGTTCCTGTCCTCTCTGCAGTTTCCACGCAGACCCTGGAGCCAGCCCCATGGCATCTCCAAGGGGGGCACTCGCTGCCCAGAGGGCCCTTTCAACCCACAGGGGCCTAACAGCCATGGTTGGCGTGGGGTGTGGGAGAGGGACATCCCAGCAGCCTGTAGCCCATCCTGTCCAGGGACCCAGCCCATAGCTGGCCTGCCCTGCTGGGTAAACAGAAAGCAGAGCAGGGAGCAAAAAGGGCCTGTGGGAGGCTCAACCAGGCCCAGAGACATTGGAGGCTGAGCCTGGCCCTTCCACGCCTCCGACAAGTGGGTGGTACAGCAACAGCCAGGTTGGGCTCTCAGGGTGTCCTGCCTCTCAGCCGTGACCCAGACCCAGGGCATGCGGCTCACGTGTTTGCATGAGAGACCTGGCTTGGCAGGTGCAGCCTTGCCGTCCATACACCTACTGGGAACCGTCACAGTCCTCCCCCACCACGCTCTGTCCTCACAGCGCCTTCCCCTCCTGTGTACCTGGTCTTGGGCCCTTTGTGGAGCCAAGGGGCAGTGAGCCGTGTGCCCTCAGCCTGGCAGGGATGGCCGCTTAGCCTCAGCAGCCTGTCACGGTGGGGTCCAGGCCTGAGCGCTTGGAGATGCGTAGCTTGACCACCTCCTCGGAGCAGGTGGGGTGGATGCCCACAGTCCGCATCACCTGTGCGTAGGATGCCCCGCACCTGCACATGGGCGGGGAGTGTGAGGAAGGGTAGGGGTGTCAGTGTCCATGTCGGGCTGCCCCTGGGGAGGCCTTGGGCATTGTGTGGTCTTCCCCAACCCTCACCCCATGCTTTCTTCTCTAGCCTGCAGCAGCCAGCTCTCTGGGGGCACAGTGCCCAGGGACTCCCCAGGTACCAACCATTTTAGTCCTCAGAAGCTGAGCTGGCTGTTGGCAGCCCAAGTTCTAAACCTTAGGTTCCCAAGGCACAGCGCTTTTTCTCTATCCTTTACTTTCTCTGTGTGTAGACTATCTGTGTCCTGCGTTTTCCAACCAGGCATCCTACTCTGTCCTTCACTGTTATTATTGATTTCTCAGAGCTGTTCCCATATTAAGGAGTAACCCCTCGTCCCTGGGACTTTTTCTGGCCCTAGGCCTTTCCCTGTCCCCTGCCAGTCCTCCACCCCAGAGTGAGTGTCTCCTGGGCCAGAGCTAGTGTCCATGGAGGGAACAGCCTGCTGCTCCTCCCATGCTGGGCCTGGGCTTACCCGCAGTCTCTCCCCTTGCTCCCTGGGGGTACCCCACCCACATGGGCTGTGCCCGGCTCCTGGCACCTGTCCACTCTGGACCAAGACCCAGAGATGGCTCAGTCACACAGCTGGGAGGACACAGGTTCCATGACCATGGTCCAGTACTCCCTGATTCCCTCTCAGAGAACTTTGCCTGGGAGATCCTGACCCTGTTCCAGGATCCTACCTGCCTGCATGGGCCCTCTTCCCTCCTGGCCCCTGACCTTTGGGACTCCAGGACCAGCTATCGTTTTCTCTCAGGCTGTGCCTCACATCCCGCTCCATTCAGAGTCACCACCACAGTCGCCGAGGGTTCCCAGAGCCTGAGCTTTCCGAGTTCCAAGCCATATGGCCATCAGAACCCTGGTCATGTGCCACTGTTTGCTCTGACCCGGAAGAACATGCGCTTCCAGACACCCTATGCCTGGTAGGACAGGAAGTGAACCTGTCCAAATGAACCTGTCCTAGGAGTGCCCTCTATGAGCATGCACGAGGTGCCCATGGAGTGGGGGAGCAGGGAGTGCTGCCCTGGGGACTTACCTGATGCCCAGTGCAAATCCCTGAGTGACTTCGCCCGCGTTGGGGCCCAGGAAGTGCAGGCCCAACACGGGCTGCGGGGGCTGTCTCAAGCACACCATCTGAAAGCCGGGGTGTTGTGGCTCAGCCTTGGGTACCCACTAGCCCCGTTCCAAAGCCTCACCACTCCCACCTGGACCCCACACCTGGCTCCTCCTTCCTGACCCCAGCCTAACCCCTCCCCAAGCCCCACAAGAACACCTACCTTTATGTAACACTGGGACGCATCTCGCTCGGCCACCGTGAACTCGAGAGGTTTGTAATATGCGTGATAAACCTGAATGACAACAGGCCCCTCTGCAATCACAGTCAAACAGGTGTGGAGGGGGGCGGGTAGGGGAAGATAAGGGGATGCCCTGTCACAGGGTGACTGTTCATGCAGGGGTGGGATATGGCGGTGGGAGGGGCATTGCATGGGGAGCAGGATATTTGCATCAGGGGGCTGGACACAGCATAGCGGGCAAAGCATCGTGTCATGGGGGCCATTGCATGGGGGATGTGACATTGATGGGGCGAGGGGGGTGGCAGGGAGTGGTGCATTGCACAAGAGGTCACTGCACAGGGAAGCAGCACAGTGTGGTGGGTGGGATCTTGCGTGGGGGTGGGGCATGGCAGTGGAAGGGGAGCAAGGTGGGCAGGAGCACCGCGGGAGGGGTCCAGGAGGTGACTGGGAACAGCATCACTACGTGGCCATGGAGACCTGTGAGTTTCCACCAGCAGCAGAACAGGTGCCAGGCTGCCCAAGTGCCACCAGCCAGTCCTAGCTACACGGCCTGGTAAGTTTCACAGCAGAGCAGGGACCCCCAAACATCAGTTCTGTCCCCCATAAAACCCTCTTCCTCTGGCATGAGTGCCTAGGCTCAGGTCCTAGCAACCCCACACCTCGAGACATGCACAAGTGTGGGCAGAGCAGACTGGGCAGGGACACTGTGGGCAGTGCATACTGAGGGGGTGTGGCCTGCTGGGTAGGGGCAGGTCCCCCAGCCTCCCTGGGGCTCCCTTGTGCCCCTGGGCCCCCCTTCTTTCGAGCAAGCAGCAACAGGAAGAGGAGGAGGCAGGCGCCAGGCAGCCGAGGGCCAGAGTAAGCCGCGGCCACACCGGAGCTGTGGGACAAGAGCTTTCAGCACCACGAAGGCCAGAGGCAGCATGCTGGGGGGCAGGGTGGGGACCCCCACATGTGCGGCACAGCCACTGCTAATTAATGCAGCCTAGGAGAACATTGTTCCGGCCAAGACGGGGCTGCAAAGACAACAAACAGAATGGAGTATTTGGCCATTCAACGTGTAGAAACTTAAAACAACGTTCTAAAAGCGCCAGGAACATGTGTCCTGGAGCACTTAAGACGGATTCAACAAAAATAGCAAATAGAGTGCCGGGGGACAGGTCGGCCTGACAGCCTGACATCCCACTGATAGAGGGGCAGGGACTCCGGCACTGGCCCTATGGCTGCTCGGCTCCTCCTGTGGTGGTTTTACAGGAGATTGGGCAGCAAGTAGACACCACGCTGAGGTCCTGGCTCCAAGGCCTGGCAGGTCTTCCAGCATGTTCCGCACCCCCTACTCTGCCCAGCCCCCAGTAGGCTGCTATAGGCAGCCTTGACTGGGCTGCGAGGCCCAAAAGATTCCTGGAAGAGGGTGGGAGGCTGGGCCAGGGCCAGGGTTGGGGTTGTTGCCCACAGGAAGCAGGGACAGGAGGAGGGTGGGGTGGAAGTCAAGGGAAGCAAGGGTGGGAAGGCACCCAGGGAAAGCGCCTGGCACCAGGTGACAGGCCCTGGGTGCCCGACTGGCAGAGACTGGGTCGGAGTGAGAAGCTATCTGCAGCAGAAGCAGGTGGGGCCATGCAGGTTGCAGGGAGCTGATGTGGCTTAGGGCCCCTCCCTCTCTTGCATGACACACATTGACCCCTGGGACAGAAGCACTATGTTTGCCAACGGCCTTGGCCTTTCCCTTGTGTGGGGAGCTGCATTCCCACGAGCCCCTTTCTCACTGAGTCCCCATGCCCCGTCCCTCCAGGCACACAACACCCCCCCCACCGACTCCAGCTCACAGGGTCCAGCAGCAGCAGTTCCTACCTCAATCTGTTCCTGTCCATGGCGAGCCACCGCCTCTTCCTCAGACAGCCCCACGCAGCCGTACTCCAGGGGAGTGAAGACAGTCGTGGGGACCTGCAAAACCCAACTGGAGTCAGGCCTGCCCCTTGTCCCCAGAACTGAAAGTCCGCACAGCACGACGTTGACAGCAGTGATGGCGGCCTGGGCCCTCGACATGCCATGGGCACAATGGGCTCAGTCTCACTCATTGTTCTGGGCCACACTCTTGGTGCTAAACCACATGTATGTTCACATAGGTATACAGGAAGACACGTACAGACACGTGCATGGCTGTGTGCACATCATCTTCCCGTATGTCACCACACATGCACAATCCTCTGAAATATGAGTTAACACAAATGCATCTGTAATATGCACAGGTCCCTATACATAACATGAGCTCTCACACACCTCTGCACACACATGTGAGACCTCATTGTACATACATATGTGCATGTGAAGACATGCACATGAGTGCTTTGAGCATGTGTGCACAGGATACATGTGTCCGTGTTTCCACACACATGTGCAGTCATATGTCATATGTGTGTACACACATGTGTGGTCACACATATTCCTGCATACAAGTATATAGTGCACTCACACGTTCTTACACACACATGCACATGCAGGCACAGGCCCCCCTCACCCCAGGAGAAGGAGCCTGGGTCTTCCTCTGGCTGGACATGGCCCTAGGGGAGGACTCACGTTGCTATAATCCATCAGCTCTGGAGACTGCCCGAACAGCCGCTGCGCCAGGAGCTTCCCCGCCATGATGGCTGTAGGGGTCAGCTCGGGCCGCCCCTGGTGGAAGGAACTCAGGTTTATTTCAGCAATACACCTGCCATCTTCTCAGTAGGAAGCCTCTGGGTTTGCTTCTCTGTCTCTGCCAGGGATGCCTGTGGCTCCGACCCCTTCCCAGAGGAGGAAAGGAGGCCAGCTCTGTTGCTCTTCTCTGAACCCCCTCCTTCACCTCTGTAGGGTGCCCCCAAGGTGATGAAGCTCAAAAAACACCCCAGCTGTGTGTGCAGGAGATCCCAGCTCCTGGGGCGGGGGGTACTGTTCCATAAGCTGGAGGTGCATGGCCCAGCCAGTGACAAACCCCACAGCAGAATGTCATTCCGCCGAAGACCTGTCCATCGTCCCAGGATGTGCCTGCCTCGGGGATGGGGGCGGGGTGGCGGCCTGGGCCTGACTGCCAATCACTTGTGCTAGCAGGAAGTGCAGCTGCTGTTCAACATTCCAGGAATGAGCCGAGATCCACAGAGATAAACTCGGGCACCATGCATTCCACGGCGTGGGGTGGAGGGAAGGCCTGGCTGATGGCGGAAACATCCACGCACCCCCAGCTCCTGCCCAAGCCCCGATGGTGGTACACAACAGCTCATGGCCTGTCCCTCAGGGGTCTTCCCAGTCCCAGTGAGCTGTCCAGCTGCAAGCAGGGGTGCCTTTCTAATAGAGTGCTATGTGTGCACTACAAGGTTCCTGTAGCTACAGCAGGAGCTTCAGGACAGCAGCCTTCCCCCACCCGAGGGGGCCCTACTCTGGGCTCTGCAGCCCCTGGTGGACAGTGGGGAGGGAGGCTTCCTGTTGTACATAGAGATGTGTGTGGCCCGCTCCTGCCAAGAGCACGGGCAGAAGTCCCGGTGGACAGTACCTGGCAACTGCCCAGCTAAGCAGGCCTAGGTTCTGGCACTTCCCTAGGAAGGAAGGGGCTCAGCCTGGAACCAGCTGCAAGCCCCAGCGAGGTAGGCCCACTCAGGCGTGCCTTAGAACTGCTGCCACGCATGGCATTTCCTGAGCCTGATGGTGCTGGAGTGGCAGCTGGTGCCTGGTATCCATTAGCGGTGGCCACAGCTGGGTGAGGGGCTCCTGGGACCCTGGGCAGGGAGTGGGGCTCCAGGGGTTGAGTGGGAACCCAGTAGAAGGGTTGGCATGGGGCCTGAAGTCTGCTAGAATGGTTACTTGCTGGACAAGACGAGCAGGCCCAGTCCCCCTGCCCTGTTTGCATGTGGGTGCCAAACTCTCTTCAACCCCTTAGCGGGCCTGGGTGTGGCCTGGAAGCAGCAGGGGGCAATAAGGGAGGGACAATTCTTCAGCACTGAGTTCATGTCGCCCTCACACCAAGTCCCACAGACCTCACATTCATACTCCCACTCCCCCAGCCTCACCCTCAGAGTGGGCTTCAGAGTGGGTAGGCAGGGTGGCACTTGCACAGGTGCCCTCGATGAGCTTGCTTGGCCTCAGCCTAGGGGCATGTCACCTGTTGTGTCCCACATGTCCTCTGACACCTGTCACCTGGGCCTCCTGACCAACACGCCACAGAGGTTCTGTCCATTCCCACAGTGCCCCTCAAGCCCAGGAAAAGTACCCTGGGATATAGTGGGTGCTCAATCTGTAGCTGATGACCAAGTGTATCTTCACATGCTGGGGTAGGTGCAGGGCTCAAGGCACCAAGATGTGCCTGGGGCATGCATGGGGAGCAGTGGGAAGAGGGATGGGGTTACCATGGCTACTGGGAGCTGGGGGTGGCAGCAAGGACCTTCTCCAGGCGTGGCCACAAATGCTACCTCAGTTGTTCTGAACCATCAGGTCTGTGGCCATGGGAGTTGGGGGCAGTATACCTGCCCAGGAGCTTCTGGCAGGGCTGAGAAAGGCACAATGCCAAGCCAGGGGTCCTGCGATTTCCACCAAGGCCTCACCATGCAGGGAAGTGGCCAGAATTGCAGGTCCCTGGCTCTTTCTCCAGGTATCCAGTGGTGCAAGGACATGCAGGAAAAGCCTCAGGGCCCCAGAAAGTAAACTGAAGCCAGAAGGGTGGGATCTGGCAGGCTTCTCCCTCCTCAGCTCTATGAGGTGGTGGAGGGACTCCAAAGGCTGTGTCCATTTCCAAGAGGCAGCAATGACTCCCAACCACCCCATGGTTGAAGCCAAACCTGGCGTTCCACAGAGCCCTTAGGTGGCAGAAAACTTGCTTTTGGTTTTTTTTTTTTCCCTTCCCCCAAAACCACCACTATGCCCATGCCTGGCCTCCACAGGAGAAGGATGCAAGAAGAGGATCCCACACCCATTTCTCCCCAGCAGGTGAGCACTACTAACACCTGGCCCAGAGCTGGGATGGCAGCACAAAGAAGCTTCCCTCCCCACCGGGGGATGGCGTCCCCAGCACCATGTCCTGCTCTGAGTGGGGTAGGGGTGGGGCATGCTCAGCCTGGGCTGTGTATACCTCTGCCACATCCCCAATGGCGTAGATATGCGGGACGGAGGTAGCATCGTGGGCGTCCACCAGGATCTTCTGATTTTCAGGATTGGTTTTCACCCCTGCACTCTCCAGATTCAGGCCCTTGGTTTCTGGAACCCGACCTGCAGGAGGGGGAAGCAGAAAGGGAACGGAAAAGTTGATTTGGGCAGTTGTGACCTTGGTTAGGTTTGAAGTCATTTCCTGGGGCCAACCCATTAAGCTGGTGCCTGGGATGCTGGCATCCTCCATTGGGGTGCCTGGCTGTACTCTTGATTCCTGCTAAAGTGTAAGGGTGTGTGTGTGTGTGTGTGTGAGTGTGTGTGTGTGTGTGTGTGGTATGTGTGTGACTCAGCACTTCAAATACATAAAAGCACAAGCTAGCATTGAGACACAGTGGTTTGAGACACCAGAGTCCCATGTTGGAGCTTAGGTTCTGGCTGCACTACTTCCCATCCATCTCCCTGCTAGTGCACCTAGGAAAACAGCCCAAGACAGCCCAATTGCTTAGCCACCTGCACCCATGTGGGAGATCCAGATGGAGATCCTAGCTCTTGGCTTCAGCCTGGCTCAGCCCTGACTCTTGCCAGGGGCTGCTGTCTGCTGCTTTCCCAGGCATATTAGTAAGGAGCTGAATCAGAAGTAGAGCAGCTAGGACTCGAACGAGTGCCCATAGGGATGCTGGGATTACAGGTGGGTCTTAACCTGTTACACCACAGACTGACCTTGCCTTGCAGTGTCTCAACCACTGTAAGGAACACCCTCTCTAGAACAGTGGTAATGTCGTAGTGACTACCTCTAATACATGCTGGTATTCTAGCTGCCCAAGATGGAATCTGCCTCAAGGGCTGCCTTCTGTCCTGTGGAGAGGGAGCAAGTACTTGCTGACAGGCCAACTGCCTACCTTCAGAGGTCTGGGCACAGGGCTCCAGAACCTTCCATAGGCTCCAATCTCCTCCAGCACCCACCAGTGGCTCTGGTGCTGACGTCAGCAGGAGAAGCAGTGCCAGACTGGGAGCCTGAGGGTGGCAGGTACCATCCAGTATTCTACGTTGCCCCCTGCTGCTCCTGAGCCAGGAAGAGCCATGGGCCCAGGCCCCGCCGCCACACACGGGCCCTTCCTGACCATAACCACCTGGATGCTGGGTCCTGTGTGGATGGAAGGGTTTCTGAGATGAAACTGGAAGGGCACACGGCAAACACTGGATGTGTAGAACATGCTGCCCTTCTTGGCTGGATGGGGGCAGTGCACACATGCGTGTGAGTACAACTGTGTGCACAGAGTACATGTTACCTGTAATACATACACATGCCCGTGGACACGACCAGCAGCAAACAGTACACATGACACCCATGCACACATATAAACAATACAGGTGTGCAGACATATACATGTACACACAAACACGAGTGTGCACACACAGGCACACACAGGTGTGCACTCACACATACATGTACACACAAGCACGAGTGTGCACTCTCACACACAATCAGGCACACACAGGTGTGCACTCACACATACATGTACACACAAGCACGAGTGTGCACTCTCACACACAATCAGGCACACACAGGTGTGCACTCACACATACATGTACACACAAGCACGAGTGTGCACTCTCACACACAATCAAGCACACACAGGTGTGCACTCACACATACATGTACACACAAGCACGAGTGTGCACTCTCACACACAATCAGGCACACACAGGTGTGCACTCACACATACATGTACACACAAACACGAGTGTGCACTCTCACACACAATCAGGCACACACAGGTGTGCACTCACACATACATGTACACACAAGCACGAGTGTGCACTCTCACACACACAAACAGGCACACAGGTGTGCACTCACACATGCATGTACACACAAACACGAGTGTGCACTCGCACACACAGGTACACACAGGTGTGCGCACACATACAAGTACACATAAGCATGAGTGTGCACTCTCACACACAAACAGCGCACTCACACATACATGCACACACATGTGCACTCACAACATACACACACAAGAATGTGCACTCACGTGCACACTCATACATACATGCACACACAGGTACACACTCACACATGTAGGCACACACATGCCCACAAACGTAAATTCCATCTGTAAACAAGCTGTGTTGTGTGTGCTCGCCTACACACATATGTGTGCATGCGTGTCCACATGCCTATACATGTGAACACTTGTACATGCAGCAGGTCCTCTGGTCCCGCAAATTCAACCAATGATGGCCTGAAACATTGGAAGGAATAACTGCCTGACCCAGACTTTTTTCATTGTCATGATCCCCCAAGCAATACAGTGTAACAACTATTCTGTAGCCTTTACATCAGACTAGGTGTTTCAGACACCAGAGATGATTTCAAGTATGAGGGGGTGAGTGAGTGTTGGGCGTAATGGCAAAGGTGCTGCTTCAAGATTCCCATGTCCCTAACAAGTACCCCAGCTGCATCCCTGCCTCAAGTTTCTGATTCCAGCTTCCTGCTAACACTTGCTCCGAGAAGCAGCAGGTAATAGCTCAAGCAGGTGGGTGGCTGCCACCCCAAGGGGGGACCTGGATTAAGTTCCTGGCTCCTCACTTTGGCCAGGCCCAGCCCCAGCTGTGGCAGGCAACTGGGGAATGAACCAGCATTCTCACAAGTCTCTCTCTGCACCTCTCATATAATAAACAAAACAAAACAAAAATAACAGCCAGCACTGTGGTAACAAATGAAGCTGTCAACCCGTGATGCCACCATCCCATATGGGCACTGGTTCAAGTCCTGGCTGCTCCATTTTTGATCCAGCCCTCTGTCTGTGGCCTTGAGAAAGCAGCGGAAGATGGCCCAGATGCTTGGCGTCTCTGGGTCATACCAGAAACCCAGAAGCTCCTGACTACTCCACTTCCAATCCAGCTCTCCGCTAATGCACCTGAGAAGGCAACATCAGATGACCCAAGTGCTTGGGTCCCTGCCACCCGCATGGGAGACCCGGATGAAGCCTGCCTGCCTTCCTTCCTTCCTTCCTTCCTTCCTGAAACATAAGTGCTGGGCTCTGAACCCCAGAGAAAACTGTAGGCAGCAGAAATGACCCAGGGGCTGGAGCCTGGAGATACCCTCCCCTGAGGGGACTGGGCTGTCACTCCTGGACAGACTATGTGGGGACATCATGCATACAGAGGACGACGCATGTACACGTGTCTCCTGGGACTTGCCAGGGGCAAAAGGGTGCTGTCCCAAGCAGGCAGGTGGGGTGCCAGTGGTCTGCACAGGCCTACTTCAAGCCCTGGGGTGACCGACAGCCTGCTGACCGCCCCCCCCCCCCCCCCGAGCAGGGCATCTTTCTCTTCACTCTCTGGAATCAGGCCAGGAAGGCACCCCCTTCCCACCATAGGAGTCCTGAATCCCAGCATGAGACCTGCAGTTTGAACAAGGACTCCCCAACACTCACTCTGGGCAGCCTGGTGGCTGCGAGGCAGGGATGGTGATTGGGTGCTTTGGCCACCCCACACTGCCTGCCTTGGCTGGCTCTCAGACCAGGGAGTCCAGGGGGGCTCTGCACCAAGACACACACATCCCTTGCTCAGCTGGTCCTGCTGTTTGTGCAAGGGCCGGAAGAGACCGAGGATGCGGTTGGCCACCCAGGGCCATCTCTGGATGATGAAAACAATTGGGTATTCCAGGCAGAGTTCCCTCAGCTCACAGTGGCTCAGATGGACGCAACCCCTGGAGTTCACCAGGTGGCAAATGGGTGGTGCTCACCCTACCCCTGCCCCGTCTCAACATCTGCACCCACGCAGCCACAGTGAAAGAGAAGACTAGAGGCTCCAGCTGCTGCTGTTCCTGGAGCCGGGAAGTCAAAACACACAGCTTAGCTAAGCCAAGCTTCTCAAGTTCGCGGGGGGCCGGCTCCAACTTCTGGGGTCTGTGAAGCCATTAGGCACTGGGTGCCGGGCGGGCTGGCACCATTAGGATCAGCCCAGACCTGGGGAGGAGGCTGGCAGTGGGCAGGGCCAGCATGTGCAGCAGGGAACTGTGCTGGAGCACCCAGAGACAGCAGAGTAGGTGGCCAGTGGACTCCCTCTGACACCCACCCACCAGGCGTTGCCAGCCCACCAAGCTTTCCTTCTGTTCCCGTGGTAACTGTGGCCTGTAGGGACTGACCAGACCCTCTTCTGACGTCCCAAAGGAAACAAAGTCTAGCAACAAAATGACCCATTTCCCCCAACATCACAATCTGGGCTTCTGTATCCAGCTTCCTGCTAATGCCAGCCCTCAGAGGCAATAGGTACTGGCTCAGGTAACTGGGCTCCAGCTACCTCACATGGGAGACCTGGGTGGATCCCAGCTTCCGGCCTCATACCTCCATGGCCTGGCCTGCAGTATAGGCCTAGGCTGCAGCCAGTACCACCTGTCACTGTCCTGAGTATCAGAAGTAACTTGCACACAATGGGAATCAGGAGGGTATTGCAAGGCAGTTCATGAAAAAAATGGAATTAAAAACACTTTTAGGGGTCAGCACCATGGTGTATTAGGCTAAGCTTTGCCTGTGGTGTTGGCATCCCACATGGGTGTCGGTTCATGTCCCAGCTGCTCCACTTCCAATTCAGCTCCTGGTTAATGTGTCTGGAAAAGTAGTGAAGATGGCCCAACTGCTTGGACCCCTGCACCCATGTGAGAGACCTGAAAGAAGCTCCTGATCGCGTCAGCTCAGCTCTGGCTGTGGTGGCCATTTGGGGAGTGAACCAGTGGATGGAAGATCTTTCTCTCTCTCTCTCTCTCTCTCTCTCTCTCTCTCTAGCTCTCTTTCTTTATCTGTAAAATCTGCTTTACAAAATCTAAAAACAAATTTATTTACAGACCTCTTCATGGTTTCCCAGTCCTACAAGAGCTTATATGCAACAGATGCACGACACTATCACATCTACTTTTCAAAAGACTTATTTGAAAGGCAGAGTTACAGAGAGAAGGAGTGAGATCTTCCACCTAATGGTTCATTCCCCAACAGGTCACAATGGTCGGGACAAGAGCAAATACCAGGAGTGCCCCCCCAAATCTCCTATGTGGGTGCAGGACTTTCCCAGGAGCATTAGCAGGAAACTGGATCAGAAGTGGAGCAACCGGG